GGGAACGCCCCACCCCCACCCCGCTCTCTCTCGCCCTCTCTGCTCTCCCTCCCATGGGATGCCTGCTTGGTGGGATGCAGCAAGAAGCCCTCAACATCTCCCGGGACCCTGAAGTTGGACTTCCCAGCTCCAGAACTGTGAACCTAGTGTATCGCACTGCTATTACAAACTTCCTAGTCTGTGGCATTCTGTTGCAGCAGCACAACCAGACCGAGACATAACACTGTACCAGGAGCGGGTGCTGCTTAGCAAACTCCTAACCAGGTGAGCGGTACTGGAACTGGGCAGGGCAGAGGCTGGGAAAGGCCTGTGCTGCTGCTGTGAGGGGCGCATTCCGGGTGATTCTGGTGAGGCCCAGGAGAGGCGGGGAGCTGGGGGGAGAGTGAACGCCTTTAGGGGCCCTGAGTGGTCCCAGCTGGGATGCTGGCAGAACTACGGACAGCAGAGGCCACTCTGAGGAGCCCTCCAATGGCAGCGAGGGACAGGGCACTGGACACCGGAGAAAGGGCCGTCCTTGTTACACAGGGCAGAGAGCTCTGCTGGGCCGCGCCCACGCCTCGGCGCATGGCCGAAAGCGCTGTCTGGAGGCAGAAGTCTCGGACCAGCAGAGGATGCTGTGTGGCTCCTTTTAGCCACAGAGAAAAAAACGGGAGCGGAGAGAGTCTCTTCACGGTGGGACTGGTAATCAAAAGGGAAGCACAGCAGAAGGATTTGGAAACTCACAGCCTGGCCGTGTAAAGCTAGAGAAGAGTCATTCCGAGAGCAAGCCAAGGAAGCCAGCGCTGTTTCAGAGGTGTCGGGTGCCTGGGGGAGGCTCTCAGACCTCAGCCCCTGCGGCCCAGGGCCACTCCCCGCACTCCAGTGCTGCAGCTCCTGGGCCACCCCAGGGAGCCCCTCGGGCCTGGATGCGGCTTGGGCTGCCGCATGGGAGTGACCGCGAGGTGCTCACTCTGCAGGCTCCCAGAAGGCAAGAGCTCCGGGGCCACGGCGCCTCCATGTAACTCTGAAAGATGCTGTGGACAGCGTGGAGGCCCACTTAGAAACTCGCCACGGGGTGGAGTCACTGCCCAGTCCCTGTGAAGGGAACACCCAGTGGAGCCAGGGGAGAGGAGCCACCACTGTGACCCCAGAACTGTCGAGCCATCAGCGTGGAACCCCAGCCCGGAAGAGCTCCAGGCACCAGACCCTCCCCACCCCCACCCCAAGAGCGCTCCCACGTGGGCTGAGCCCAGCAAAGCCACCCAGCGGGGCTGCCCGAGGCCGTGGGCCCAGCTCCTGCCCAGCGTGAATGCTGCCCACCTCGCTGGGTCCCGGACGCACCTGGGGCCAGTCACTCCTTTCTTCCTGCCTACTTCTGCCATTGGGAATGGAAATGTCGGTCCTCTGCCTGTCCCAGGCGTCCTCGGTGGGCGCGTCGCGTGCTCGATTCCACGGGCTCGCAGTGCAAGCGGCTGCGCCTCGCTCGGGGCGAACCCTGCCTCGGTCTCAGCCGTAACTGACTCGGGTGAGACCAGACTTGGGGCTTTTGAGCCGGTGCTGGGAGGAGGCAGGATGCTTGGGCTACTGGGATGGGAGGAGTGTATTTCGCAGGTGAGAAGGACAGGTGGTTAGGGACGGAGGGTGGGAAGCTGTGGCTGGAATGTCTGCCCCCTCCCAGGTTCAGGCTGAACAGCTGTAATAGCACGGAACAGCACGAGGGGCCTTTAAGAGGGTTCCGCCCTCGTCCCTGCTGCCGCCGCAGGGGAGCGCTCTCCCCCTGCCCTGCTCGCCCCCTGCCCTGCTCTCCCCCTGCTCTGCTCGCCCCCTGCCCTGCTCCCCCCCTGCCCTGCTCTCCCCCTGCCCTGCTCGCCCCCTGCCCTGCTCCCCCCTGCCCTGCTCGCCCCCTGCCCTGCTCTCCCCCTGCCCTACTCCCCCCCTGCCCTGCTCGCCCCCTGCCCTGCTCTCCCCCTGCCCTGCTTCCCCCCTGCCCTGCTCGCCCCCTGCCCTGCTCCCCCCCTGCCCTGCTCCCCCCCTGCCCTGCTCGCCCCCTGCCCTGCTCGCCCCCGCCCTTTGGATGTTATGATGCGGCCAGGAGCCCTCAACAGGTGCAGGCGCCTGGGTGTTGGATGACCCACCTTCCCAGCCTCCCGAATCGCGAGCCGCTCGACTTCTGGTAAGCTTCCAGTCTGTGGCAGGAGCTTGGAGCAGGCTAGGACACCTGGAGTGGCTTCCTACGGCTTCCTCTACTTAGGACGACGCACAGCCTCCCAGGCGCGACCCCGAGGGCCCCGGCCCACCCCAGTCTCCTCGTTCCAGTCACCGTGGCCCTCATTCTGTTCCACCCACGTCCACCTCAGGGCCTTGGCACATGCTGTTCCAGCTGGCTGGCTACTCCCCTGCCCCCTCACACGACTCGGGCGATGTCACCTCCTCCAAGACGCCGTGCCTGACCATCCTGTCTGAAGCTGCCCCTCCCGCCTCCCCTGTCACCTTTCATCAGGGAGGGTGCACACTCTGGCTTCCTCCATGAGAATGTCACCCCACCAGGGTGGGGCCGTGGCCTCTCTCTGCAGGATGCCCAGGTCCTGGCACGCAGCAATCCTCCAAATACGCGTCTGACAGGCTGGCGTTGTGGTGCAGCAGGCGTAGCCACCACCTGCCATGTCGCACCCCACACGTGCCCTGATTCGAATCCCGGCTGCTCTGCTTCCTAACCAGCCCCTGCCAATGGGCCCCTGCACCCACGTGGCCATTTGGGGAGTGAACCAGTGGATGTAAGATCTCTCTTTCTGCCTTTCAAATGAAATAAAATAAATCAGAAAACCAGTGTGTCTCGCGCATCATGGGGTGGACGCTGTCTCCAGGATGCACCCCGACACCTCTGAATGCTATCTTATTTGGGAAGGGGTCACTGCGGCTGTCCTGAGCTGAGGTCACCCTGGGGCAGGTGGGCCCCTCATCCCACATGACTGGCACCCTGGTCAGAAGGGGACACACACAGGGAACACCCAGTGGAGACGGAGCTGTGCTCCCACAGTGCCTGCCCGGAGCCTTCGCGGGGAGCACGGCCCTGCCCACCCTGGAGCCTGGGCTCCTGCTGCCGGGAGCAGGGGGGGAAGCAGTCCCGGAGGTTCTCCCCTGCTCTGCAGCCCCCGCTGACCACACAGCGAGTGAAGGGCTCAGCAAACGGAGGCGCAGGTCTCGCCCTGCAGCCCTGTGTCCACTGCTGAGGGACTGCCCAAGCCAGTCTCCGCTGACTTGTCAAAGACAGGGAGTTTGAAAGAGGAAAGCCAAGCAGGGGCTCTGTCCAAGGACATGCTCATCTGTCCCCAACACCCACCCCAACTCACCACCAACCACGCCAGGCCAACCCAGTCGACGCAAAACCACGTGGCCCATGGTGCCCAGCACACAGTAGGCGCCTTGTGAGCCAAAGAGACTCCTCACACATCTCCTGCTCCCCAGAATTCCCAAGCTGCTGCCCTGTTTGGGAGGCAGGCACCCAGGTCCCCACGGAGGGGTGGCAGTATGGTGCTCTGACCCCACCTGTCCCCTAACTTGGGAGAGTCTGGCTGGGTGCGAGGCAGAGCCAGGGACCCCTCTGCGTAGCACAAAGGGCAGAAGGTGAGTTCCAGCACCCAGGCCGCTCTCAGTCCCCCGCGGTGGCCAGCGGGCAGAGGCCAGCCTCCAGGTACCACGGCATGACTAAAGCTGTCACCGCCCCAGCTCCCTCCCTCGCGGCTCAGTGATGCCGGGTCGCCTTCCAGGAGCAGCACAGCCAGGTAAGCCCTTGGGCCCCAGGCAGAAGCAGGGAAGGGGTCCTTCCGGAGGCCCCGGGGCCCCTGGCCATGCCCCAGCCCAGCTGGATTGTGAGGGACAGCCCGGCTCAGGTGCCCTGGCCGCCACCCACGCGGCACCCAGAACCTGCCTGGCCATGACCATGCACTGACCCGAGCCCCAGCCCATCTGCATCCTGCACCACTGACCCATTTTCCTGCCCAGCCATGGGGGGGGGGGGGGGGAGGAAACCAAGTCCACGGGGCCAGGCACCCGTGCACACCCACTTCACAGGAGAACCGGGGTCCTCATGGCAGCCCATTGAAGGGATGTGCAAAACGGTAAAGCTCCTGGCTCTCCAAGGGGTAGAGGTGAGACGGCTGAACCAGAGCTGTGTGGCCCCAAGCCAGGCCACCAGCTGCCACCCTCCGTGAAGGGCCTTGGGGAGCCACTCACACCCAGCCCCCTGCAGGATGCCTGTCCCCGGCGCAACACAAAGAGCACTGGTCTTGGAGTTTAAGTTCAAGTCCAAGTACCAGTCCCTTCCCTGTCTGGTCTCAGTTCCTCCACTCTCATACCAGCCCAGGGTCTGGCCTGGCTCAGAGGGTACCCGGAGCCGCGCTGCTCCACCGGACTCTGGATCAGGGGTCTTTCTTGTCTGTGTTCCGGGACCCCCAACTCATGCGCCTCACTGTGCGTGGATCTGAAGTCAAAGACCTGCGGACGTCCGAGCCTGGGTGGACGTCTGGCCGCGCACAGAGACAGGCGACCTGGCCACAAGTGCAGCCTCTGGGTCCACTTATGGACTGGCTGGGGAGCCTGGGGCTGGGGAAGGTGGTCTTCCATGGCGGAGCCCTCGGGTCGGTGAGTGGGGTCGTGAGCTGCCCACTGGGACGCTTAACAAAGAGGGGGCGTCCCGCACTCCGGGGCTTCCTGGTCCCGCTCCAGTCCAGGGCACCTACCTGGTGCCTTGGGGTCGGCACCCTCGGGGCCACCTGGGGCGGACTTGAAGCGGGGGCAGCGGGCCGAGCCGGCTCTCCCTAGTGGGACGTGCACGGGCGACAGATGAACACGCCGCCGGGGTTCCCCGCACTCCCGGGGACCCGAAAGCCGTGGGGACAGCGCCCGGAACGGAGTCCGGCGCCCGACCCCCGGCCAGCGATTGCACATGCGCCCTGGCGGCGACCCCGCCCACAGTGTTCCCATCCCTCTCCCTCTTCGCGTTTCCCCCCACGACCACTGACCATAGTGACCGGAGCCGCCGGGCCAGGTTCCGCCCCAGAGAGGAGCGATCCGGTGCCGGAGGAAGCCACGGGAGGTGCTGGCCGGCTCCGCCGTTGGGTCGGGCGGCGGGGCCCTCGAGGGCGCTGGCGTGAGTGGGGAATACACCCGACCGCTCCGCAAACCAAAGGCTAGCCCTCCACTGTGTCCCAGCAAGACACACGCCCCGCGATTGACGTCGGAAGCGGGCAATCAGAAGCCGGGACACTGGACGTCACAGAAAGTGGGTGGGACTTCACGCGGTCTCAGCCTATGCTTTAGGGCCCATTTGACAGGAGACCGCCCCCTTTTAAAGACACAGAAAGCTTTTAAGTAGCTAGGGAGTTATCCCAACCCAGAAAGACAGGTCCTCCTTTGAAAAGGCTGAAGGGCTTTTGAGCCAAACTGCAAATTGAAGTCCTCTGAAAGATTAGCTGGCCCTCATTAATTCATAAACAAGGTCGCATAAGCATAGTTTGCTCAAGATGAGAGGCCAGGCACTTAGGGAACACGTGTCCAGGAACATGAAGTCACCCACCTGCTCCCGTGTGGCTTCTAAACAATATTTCACCACCGTGCACCCATCAATCAGTGGTCGCCGCGCACCCAATTAAGGTTTGCAGGCGAGCGGACCTCCGCGGCGGCTGACGCTGCGGCCGCGGGCGAGTCGGGCGGCCCACGCCGCGCCCCCGCTCCTCACCAGGGCGCAGACGCGGTCACTCACAGCTCCGCGGGCGGGGGCGGGGCTCCCTGCGCGGCCCCTCCGGGCTTCTGCTTGGGGGTTCTCAGTTTAGGGCGGTGCGGGAGAGCTCCAGCAGCCCCCGGCCCAGGCACGCGGCTGGGCTCTTGTCTTCCACGCTGGCCTCATTTCCTGGGTGTGGGGTGTGGGGGGTCCACAGAGGCCCCAGGGCCAGGCGCCGCACCGGCCAAGTTTTCCCAGCTCCAGGGGAACAGAGCACCTGCCGTAAGCCCCAACACCCAATGTGTATCCTCCGAACGTCCACCCAAGACTGTGGGGTGGGTCCTGCTGTTACGGCCCCTGCTTTACAGACGGGGAAACTGAGGCACGGGGAGATGAAGGTTCGTGCCCAGATCCACGCGGCACACAAGTGAGTCACTCAGCCCCCAGGCAGTGTGAGTCAGGCGCTGTTTTTATTTTATTTATTTTTATTTGAGAGGAGCGAAGCAGTGAGAAGGAGACAGAGCACTCTTGTCGGCTGGTTCACTCTCCAAATGCCTGCAACGGCTGGGGGCTGAAGCTAGAATTCAGTCAACGTCTCCCACGTGGACGCAGGAACCCAATGGCTTGAGCCATCAGCACTGCCTTCCAGGGTCTGCAGGAGCAGGAATCGGTTGTCAACAGCCAGGAGCCCAGGCACTCGGATCCCGGCCACCACGATAACTACTAAGCCAAGTACCCGGCCCCAGAACCTCGATTGACTCGGAGGAGTGATGGCTCAAGTCCTCAGGCCCCTGGACCCATGTGGGAGACCCAGATGGAGTCCCTGGCTCTCGGCTTCAGCCTGGGCCATAGCGGCCATTTGGGGAGTGAACCAGTAGATGGAACCTCTCTCTCTCTCTCTCTCTCTCTCTCTCTCTCTGTAACTTTGCCTTTCAAATAGATACATCTCTTTAAAAATTTAAAAAAGAACAAGAGGAATGCACCAAATGGATGAGTAGGAGAAAACATTAGCTAGTGGGCGTGGGAGGGGAGGATCTTAGAGGAGGATTCTGGTGGATTCTAGAACTCGGACAGACCAGTCTGACTAGAGTCCTCCAGACAGGGCTGGAGAGGTGGCCAGGGCCAGATCCCACAGGCCCCATGGGTACCGGGAGGGGTTTGAACTTAAAGGCAATAGGGAGCCATGAAGGAGCAAGGGGAGGATGGCCATGGGCTCTGCCGCCTGTATGCTGTGTGACCTCTGGCAAGTTACTGCACCTCTCTGGGCCTGGGCGCTCCATCTCGGTTGCTCTTCCCGCCCAGGTGGACGTGGAGCCCCTGTCCCTCAGCCTGGCTCTCCTGCTCTCAGCACTCACCCTCTCACTGCTTGTTCATCTCCCAGGCGGCAGCGGCCTGCCTAGAATAGTTCATGGAAAATCACTGGAAAGGGAAAGGTTAAAACCGGCCATTGACGGCGTGAAGAACCACAAGAGGGGTCGGTGCGGTGGTGCAGCAGGCTGAGCCACGGCCTGCAATGCTGGCTCCCTGTTGAGCACTGGTTCGAGTCCCGGCTGCTCTTCTTCTGATCCAGCTCCCTGCTAATGCACCGGGGGAAGCAGCAGCAGAGGACCCGAGTGTCTGAGGCCCTGCCACCCACGTGCAGACCCAGCAGGATTCTGGCTTCCGGCTCCTGGCCCAGCCCCAGTGTTGCAGCCACCTGGAGGGTGGGCCAGCAGGTGGAGGATCTTTCTCTCCGCCTGTCTCTCTCTCTGTCGTTCTGCCTGCCAGCCACTCTTTAGGTGAAAGATTTGGTTTTTTGTTTCTAAGTGGAGATTTTTAGAAAGCATAGGAGTGAGAAATATTTACGGGAGGGAGTTTCATTGCTTCATTCTTTATTTTTTTTAAAGATTTTATTTATTTATTTGAAAGTCAGAGTTAGAGAGAGAGAGAGAGAGAGAGAGAGAGAGAGAGAGGTCTTCCATCCACTGGTTTACTCCCCAGATGGCCGCAATGGCCAGAGCTGCGTGGATCTGAAGCCAGGAGCCAGAAGCTTCCTCCAGGTCTCCCATGCGGGTGCAGAAACCCAAGGACTTGGGCCATCTTCTACTGCTTTCCCAGCCACAGCAGAGAGCTGGATTGGAAGAGGAGCAGCTGGGACTGGAACCGGCACCCTTATGGGATGTTGGCCCTGCAGGCGGCGGCCTTACCTGCTACGCCGCTGCGACGGCCCCATTATTTATTCTTTTTTAAAAATTGTATTTATTTGAAAGGTAGAGAGACAGGGAGAGATGGTCTCTCGGAGCTTTACCCCCCAAATCCCAACAGACAGGTCTGGGCCAGGATGAAGGGGGGGGGCTGGGAACTCTGTCCAGGGCTCCCGAGGGGCGGCAGGGACCCAAGTGTGGAGTCATCACTTGCTCCTGGGCCGTGCGTTCGCAGGAGCCGGAATCGGCAGGGAGACGGCTCCGACCCGGCACCAGGATATGGGACGCAGGTGTTCCTAGAAGCGGCTCCACCACTGTGCCCCATGCCGGTCCCCACCCACCCTCATTCCGAGCATATGAGGATGTGCCCCCCGGCCCCCACCCGTGCTCCCTGAAGGCCTCCCCTGTGCCGGGCCCCACACTGGGCCCTGGGAAAGATGCCAAGACAAAGCCTCTCTTCCGAGACTGCACCTTGTAGAGGCAAAAATAACCGTAACTTTGGAGGGGCAGGGGCCGTCAGGAGCCCTGTGGCAGGGTCTGGGGCAGGCGGGGCTGGGATGGCTTCCTGGAGGAGGTGAGAGGTGAAGTGGCCTGGGGAAGAGAGGGAGGGGCGAGAGGGAAGGCCTTCCCCAGCCCCGCCCACCCGAGTCCTGCAGCTGGAGCACTGCCCACTCCTACTGCCCGCTCCATCTGCCCGCTGGGCTGGCTGGGGCGCCGCTCCGCTCAGCTCACCGCAGAGGCCCGGGTGATGAGAGCTGGTGCCCCGGCTGCTCGCTCTCGCAGGATTGCAAACCAGGAAGGCGCCCAGCACGCAGGAGCACCAGGGCAATGCTCTCCTTGCGCTGCTCACCGCCCAACCACGTCCCGCCCCGGGGCTACTTGCTCCATCTGGAGGCCAAAGACCCGAATTCACATCCTGGCTCAGCCGCTTGGCCTGCTGTGCGACCTCAGACAGGCCGCTTGCCCGCCTGAGCTGCAGCTTCCTCCAGGAGAGGGGAGTGGAGAGAGCAGGGCGTCAGGGCTCATGGGTGGGCACGGGGGCGCCACGGCCTGCAAGCCACGTTCCGGTGCCCGTGAGGGAGTTGCCGCGGCAGGGGGCCGCCATGGCCCTAAGTCTCTCACACATTCACGCATGCACCTGCTCATGCCGCCCTGGACACCCGCCCCGTGCCAGGCTCCCTCTCTTGGGCTCTGTGAGTTCAGCGTTTCGTGCATGACAGAATTGCAGGAAGTTCACGCCGTGCCCAGCGAGGGGCGGGCAAGGCTGGACAGCAGATGGTGCCAGAGTCTTCCCCAGAAGCACCCGCAGGGTGCTTGAGACACCCTCATGGATGCCCTGGGCCAGGCTGCCACTTTGTGGCTTCCCAAGAGCCGCAGCAGCTCCTGAGCCATGAGCGGGGCCGGGCAGAACCTCAGCCCCAGAGTGGGGGTGGGAGCAAAGGTGGGCGTGCCCAGCGCCTTTCAGCAGGGGTCTCGTGAGGGAGCCCCTTCCAGGGTTTTCCTGTGACCCCTGTCTGGCCAGCTTCCTATGTGGAGAGCAGGACTCAGATCAGACCCAAGCTCCAAGGCTGGAGACCAAGTGGGGCACGCTCAGAGCAGGAGCCAGCGGTCGCAGGGAGGGGCCCACAGGAAAACCAGAGCCCGTGAACTATAGGAACTGGCCAGAGGCAGGGGCCGAGAGCCTCGGGAGTCTCACGTGGGTGACGCATGCGACCATCAGCCTGATTCTTGGGAATCCCAAAGGTTAGGGTCTGTGAGACGCCAAGAATTGGTTCCCATTTTTGAATAAAGCATTTTTGGTGATTCTAGCAGTTCAACACACGCATCACAGAAACTCCTGGGGAACTGCGGTTCGTGGGGCGGGGCGGGGCTCCCGCCCCTCTCCCCCCACCCCCCAGCATCCCTAGTGACTGGGTGGGCAGGGTCCCCAGCCAGGGTGACTCTTGGGGCGGAGAGCGTGTGGCAGTTGAACAAGTGGGCAGGTGAATCAGACAGCTGGTGCATGCAAGTAACAGACAGCCTCAACCGTCGCTGGCGCCATTACCAGGGTTTATTGCTCTCTCCTGGGCCCGTGGGCTGGCCGAGGACCCGACGGTGCTGGGGCTCCCAGCTGCAGGTTGGTGTGCCTGTCTGCTCAGAGCCAAGCTCTGCAGGATAGTGTTTCAAGCCTCTGCTGAGGTCACAATCCACTGACATCTTATTGGTCAAAACAGGTCACATGGCCAAGCTAGAGTCAAGAGAGGGGGCGTGGTGAGTCAGGAGGAGGACCCTGGGACTGCTAATGCAGGCTACTGTATGGGATTAGGGGTGAGGTCACCTCTTTTTTTTTTATTTTATTTTTTAGACAGGTAGAGTTAGTGAGAGAGAGACAGAGAGAAAGGTCTTCCTTCTGTTGGTTCACCCCCCAAATGGCCACTACAGCCGGCACAAGCCAGGAGCCAGGTGCTTTCTCCTGGTCTCCCATGTGGGTGCAGGGCCCAAGGACCTGGGCCATCCTCCACTGCCTTCCCGGGCCACAACAGAGAGCAGGATTGGAAGAGGAGCAACCAGGACAGAACCAGCACCCCAACCGGGACTAGAACCTGGGGTGCCGGTGCCGCAGGCAGAGGATTAGCCAAGTGAGACATGGCACCGGCCGGGGGTCACCTCTTTACTGCTCGTCCTCGCTGGGACTGTGGTCGTCCCCCCTTAGAAGCATGGCTTCGTGCACAGTTGGCTCCCACACCTGCAGATTCAGCCAACCATGCATAGAAAAGAGTCAGTGCGCTGGTTCCAGTCCCGGCTGCTCCTCTTCCAATCCAGCTCCCTGCTAATGGCCTGGAAGGGCAGTGGAGGATGGCCCAAGTGCTTGGGCCCTGCACCCATGTGGGAGACCTCGATGAAGCTCCTGGTTTTGGATCAGCCCAGCTCTGGCCATTTGGGGAGTGGATTAGGGATGGAAGACCTCTCTCTCTCTCTCTCTCTCTCTCTCTCTCTCTAACTCTGCCTCTCAAATAAATAAATTAAATCTTTAAAAATATCCATGTCCCACATGGGTGTGCTTGATTCAGTCAGCCGGGTCCTGACTGCAGTCTCCTGTCAGTGCCGAGCCTGGAGGCAGCAGCGCAGACTCCAGGAACCAAGTTCCTGCCACCACGGGAGACCTGAGTCGAGTTCCTGGTCCCCTGGTTTGGCCTTTGCGGACATTTGGGGAAGGAGCCGGTAGATGGAAGAACTCTATCCTTTCTCTGCTTCTCAAATTCCAAAGAATGCATTTGTATTGAAAACATACAGACTTCTCTTTCTAGGTACTGTTTCCTAAATAAGATGGTCTAATAGCTAGTTACACAGCAAGCACGGTGTGTCAGCCATTCTCAGTAATCCAGACATGATCTAAGGTCTCCAGGAGGGTGTCTGGGCTCAGTGCACCTGTTGCTCTATAAGGGACTTGGGCCTACAGGGCCTATACAGAGTTCATGGGAGGTTCTGGACACAACCCGCACAGGTACCAAGGGACAACTGTGTTTCCTTTCATGCTTCTTATTCATAATTTTTATTAAATTAATATTTTTGAGATACACACATATAGAGAGAGCTCCTTTTTTTTTTTTAAGGTTTATTTATTTATTTGAAAGGTAGAGTTACAGAGAAGCACAGGCAGAGAGAGAGAGAAAGAGAGAGAGGGAGAGAGAGATAGATCCTCCATCTGCTGGTTCACTCCCCAAGTGGCCACAACAGCTGGAGCTGGCCAATCCAAAGCCAGGAGCCAGGAGTTTCTTCCAGGTCTCCCACATGGGTGCAGGGCCCAAGAACCTGAACCATTGGCCGGCGCCGCGGCTCACTAGGCTAATCCTCCGCCTAGCGGCGCCGGCACACCGGGTTCTAGTCCCGGTCAGGGCGCCGGATTCTGTCCCGGTTGCCCCTCTTCCAGGCCAGCTCTCTGCTGTGGCCAGGGAGTGCAGTGGAGGATGGCCCAGGTGCTTGGGCCCTGCACCCCATGGGAGACCAGGAAAAGCACCTGGATCCTGGCTCCTGCCATCGGATCAGCGCGGTGCGCTGGCCGCAGCGCGCCGGCCGCGGCGGCCATTGGGGGGTGAACCAACGGCAAAGGAAGACCTTTCTCTCTGTCTCTCTCTCTCACTGTCCACTCTGCCTGTCAAAAAATAAAAATAATAATAATAATAAAAGAACCTGAACCATCTTCCACTGCTTTCTCGGGAGCATTAGCTGGGAGCTGGATTGGAAGTGGAGCAGCTGGGACTCGAACTGGCTCCCATATGTGATCCAGCACTGCAGGTGGTGGCTTTACCCACTATGCCACAGCGCTGGCCCCAGGGAGCTCCCTCTATTGGTTCACTCCCCAAATGCCTGCCATGGTCCAGGCTGGGAATTCAGCCCAAACCTCCCATGTGGGTGTGGCAGGGACGCAACTACTCCAGCCAGCACCAGTTGCCTCCCACGGTCTGCACTGGCAGGGAGCTGAAATCTGAAGTGGAGCTTGGACTCACATGCAGGCAATTCCACCAGTGTCGCAACACCCAGACCAAACACCCGCCCCGGGTTTTATTTTTTAAACCCTCTGCTTTTTTTCCTACTTAACTTTATACCCTATAAATCTGTTGGCTTACATTAAACATTTTTATAAATTTTTTTAATTACAAATATTTTGTAAATATTTTACATTAAATATTAAACATATTAATAGCTGCAGAATCATACGATCAGGCAGTGCTGACAAAATTTCCTGAACTCCTCCTCTGGGACGTGTAGATTTTTCCAGTCTGGACTTCTAGGGAAAACGAACGTGACTCACGTCTTTGTCCAGAAATCTATCAGCACCTGTCCTGGGCATTCTTGCTTCTGCCTGGCCAGCACCAGGGCCCCCCTCCGTCTGGTTTCCCTTGGGGGAGCCATATCTCCCCTTCTCTCTATCCATGAAGTGTGTGTGGCACCCACCCTGGACACGGAGGACGTCCACCAGCCATGAATGATTCCCCGGGCCTGGCCAATCAGAGCATGGGATCCCCTTAGTTACAGAGAAGAGCTCCGGAATGGACCTGGCGCCTGGGGCTGGCCAGCACATGGTGACGTGGCTAAGAGGCACGCGCCGCGCGGTGATCCACGCAGAGGGACCCTGGGACTTGCTCCGCAGCGGCTGTCTCTCTGCCTCGGCTTCAGGGGATCGGGCAGGAGGTGCTGGCCGCTGTCTGGTTGGTGCCGAGCCTGAGAATAAAGCCGAGGGCTAGGTGAGCGGATGGAGCCCAAAGACAAGATATACCGTCGGCTCCCGATGCAGCAGGGGCTCAAGCGAGAGGCCCCTGTCTTTCCAGTGGGAGCAGCCCAGGCCTTGCTGCTTTAGCCTAGGTCAAGCGAGTTGGCCTCTGCCACGTGGAACCACATAGCTTGGGTTTTATTAAGTTCCCGAGCCAGAGTCACTCAGCCGGGGGCCATCAACATTTTAAGGCTTTTGAGACCTCGTATCTGATTGCTTTCCAGAGTGTGTGTGCAAAGAGGGCGCTGGGCTGCAGAGCCCCAGACCTCCAGCTCACACTTTTTATCAAGGGGCAAAAATTATATGGTTGAAGTAACTGTCATGTGTACAGCTTGCTTTGTTTGGTGATTTGCTGGATACGAGCAGTTGCTGTCGTGTGTGTGTGTGTGTGTTTTCTTTGTAAGAACTCTTCCAATAACAAAAATACTGATCCCTTTTCAATTCTCCACCATTTCCTGCAGCTTGTTACTGTTAGCAATTTTTATGCGTTCTGCAGTTGACGCCTTGTCCATCTTTATGCCGTCAAAGAGCTTTTGGCTGCCACTTCGGTTGCTTCTCTTTTTCCAAAGCCCTCCCCTAAGAAAGACAGGGAGATACAGACCACACCAGCCTTGTGCTGATTTCTAGATGCCCAGGAATTCTCACTCCACGATCTCACAGTTGTCTGCCTTGGAGCCACCTGGGGAGCTTGGAAAAAATCCAGATTCCTAGGCCCCGCCCTAAAATCAGAATCTCTGAGCATCAAACCCTGGCTGTCTCTATTTTTTTAAAGCAACTATCACAGATGATTTTATTTTATTTTTAAAGATTTATTTACATATTTGAAAGTCAGAGTTACACACACACACACACACACACACAGAGGTCTTCCCTCTACTGGTTCACTCCTCAATTGGCCGCAACTGGCCGGAACTGAGCTGATCTGAAGCCAGGAGCCAGGAGCTTCTTCTGGGTCTCCCAGGTGGGTGCAGGGGCCCAAGGACTTGGGCCATCTTCTACTGCTTTCCCAGGCCATAGCAGAGAGCTGGATCGGAAGTGGAGCAGCCAGGTCTCAAACCGGCGCCTATATGGGATACTGGCACTGCAGTCCAGGGCATTAACCTGCTGTGCCACAGCGCCGGCCCCTATCACAGATGATTTTAATAAACACTAAGGTTTAAACGTCACCACTCAGCCTGGGAAAAGCAGCGGAAGATGGCCCAAGCGCTTCAGCCCCTGCACCCAAGGGGGAGACCAGGAAGAAGCTCCTGGCTCCTGGCTTTGGCCTGGCTTGGCCCTGGCTGTTGTGGCCACTTGGGGAGTGAATCAGTGATGGAAGACCTCTCTCTTTCTCTCTCTGACTGACTTTCAAATAGATGGATATATATATATATATATTTTTTTTTGGACAGGCAGAGTGGATAGTGACAGAGACAGAGACAGAGAGAAAGGTCTTCCTTTTGCCATTGGTTCACCCTCCAATGGCCACCATGGCCGGCACGCTACGGCCTGCGCACCACACTGATCCGATGGCAGGAGCCAGGTACTTCTCCTGGTCTCCCATGGGGTGTAGGGCCCAAGGACTTGGGCCATCCTCCACTGCACTCCCGGGCCACAGCAGAGAGCTGGCCTGGAAGAGGGGCAACTGGGACAGAATCTGGCGCCCCGACTGGGACTAGAACCCGGTGTGCCGGCGCCGCAAGGCAGAGGATTAGCCTAGTGAGCCGCGGCGCCGGCCGGATATTTTTTAAAGCTACCACTCCGAGTGATTGGGCTATCCCACGGTATGTGGTCTGGGGACCGGACAGTGCTGAGCTTGTCCCCAGCACCAGCCACTCCCTGAGCGCCGGCTTCTCCAGCAGGGTCTGGAGGAGGAACGTCTCCATCTGAAGTAGCGCCAAGCCGGGCCTCGCTGGCCGGTAATGAGCCCTCGGCCTCCGCAGTGCCCCAGCCCTGGCCCTTGGTGTCTGGGCTCCTGGGGTGCAGCTGGGAGGACATTTCACGAGACACCCGAGGACTTTTGTCCTCCAAATACACTCAGCAGCCTCTCTAGGCTGCCGCAGAGCCCAGGGGAAAGTGAGGCCCGAGGGAGCTTCCTGTCTGGCAAAACATGAGGGCGGGACAAAGCCAAGCCTTCAAGTGCACAGCTGCGCTGCTAAGGCCCGGTGCCTGCTGTGTGCATCTTAGGGCCCCAGCCCCCCCACAGGGGAAGCGGGGAGCTCCCAACAGACCCAGCTGCCATCAGGGAAGGCAGCTCGCTGGCCCAGCCACTGCCGCCCCAGGCCTCTGTTCCAACTGTCCTCCTCCCCAGCGCCCTGCCAAGGCACAGCAGGTGCACGGCAGGCAGGCACGAGGGGACAGAGGGACACAGAGCCCCGGCAGGCCCAGCCTCGAAGCCAGAGAAATGCATTCTGGACCCAGGAGGCCGTGCTGTGTCTGGCGACTCCCAGGAGGTGACGTGGGCGGAGCCACGCTCCCAGAACCCAGGGCCCACCCCGTTTCAGCAGGGGGAACTGGTGGTCGAGACCGAGCTGTACCCAGCCTGCGCGGGGGGCTGGGGGAAGGGTCTGCCATTGTTCTAAAGCGGCCGTTCTCAACGTGTGCTCCCTGGCCCAGCAGCACCAGTGTCACCTGGGACTTGGAAACCACACACGTTGGTCTGCTCGGACACTCTGGAAGTGACCCAGCTCGTGTGGCCATGAGACTCCTGCTGCACAGTCACTGGGACCACCCCTGCCTGAGGCTCTGCCCAGGGAAGGTGGATGGGTGGGGACTTCAGCTCTCCTGGGAGACAGCAGGCCAAACAGGGCCTGAGGGCGCTCCCCGTGCCTGGCCTCTGGGCCTGTCTCAACCCCAAGTGGGCCTCAGCCACCTTCTGTTTGCCCAGCGGGAAGTCTCTCCCTCCAGGTTCCCTCAGGAGAGCAGGCCCCACTCGCCTCCTTCCTCAAGTTCAGCTTCCTAATCAATGCCCAAGCCCCCGCCCCCTCTGAGCCTCTGCCCTGCCCCCTCAGTGTTATTGACAGAATCTCTGCACCTTTCAAGTTCGTTTGCTGCTGTTCACAGCTCCATAGCTGCTCTTTATCTTATTTTTTAAATATGTATTTATTTTAGTTGAAAATAAAGTTACAGAGGGAGATAGATAGATAGATAGATAGATAGATAGATAGATAGATAGATAATCTTCACTCCCCAAATGGCTACAACAGCCAGGACTGGACCAGGTTGAAGCCAGGAGCCTGGAACTCCATCTGGGTCTCCCACGTGGGCAGCAGGGGTCCAAGGCCTCGGGCCATCTTCTGCTGCTTTCCCAGGCTGTTAGCTGAGAGCTGGATTGGAAGTGGAGCAGCTGGGACGTGAACCGGTGTCCGTGTGGGTTTGCCAGTGCTGCAGGTGGCAGCTCTACCTGCTGCGCCACAGCGCCACGCTCTTGGCTTCAAGCCCTTACCTGAGTAAGCTGCAGATGTCACCCACATGCCACAACAGAGCCAGGCCACGCTGCCCGCCGTGTAGACCAGGCTCCTCTGATGCTGACCTGTGGACGCCAGGCTGGAGGAGGGCCCCCTCACAGGTGCTCTCACCCAATTTTACAGGCAGGAAAACCAGCCGAGCCCAGAGAGGCCTCCCCGATGGAGCCATTCCTCCCCAGCGGCCCGGAGGCCCTCGGGTGGTCAGAAGGCCCGGCTTGGTCTTCAGCCTCTGAAACAGGTCACTGGACGCCTTCTAGATTCCACGCCCCGGATGCCTGCCCAGTGTGTGTGGGGGCTGGGGGCTCCTTGCCAGGTGCCCCTGACTCGTGTGTCCCACAGCCCAGATCCTGGGATTTAGGAGCGTGTGGTCTCACCTGGGACCCAGGGCGCTCCCCTCCTCCCTGCTGCTTCAGTCCTGGGCAAGCCCCACCTTGACCGCTGCTGATAGCCCCAGGGCGGGGAGCAAGACCCCCTCAGTCCCAGCCCTCTCGCTGCCCCCTCTCCCACCCCTGGGGACGGAGGTGGCGCAGCAAGCAGGCCGAGGGAGGCGCTGAGGAGCTGGCTGTGTTGCTGCAGAGCCCGCGAGGCCGCGCCCGCTCAGCAGGGGCTGGAGCGCCCCGAGGTCTGGGCGCTGGGAAACGGGGCTCTGGGAGTTGGGTGCTGGCTGCCCGCGCCCCTCCTAAAGGACCTGGGGGAACTTCCGGGCCTGTGGCTCTTGAGGCTGTCCCCCGACCAGCACTCTCTGGGTTCCGCGAGCAGCGAGAGGATTCTCACCGTCTCCATCTTGTCCAATATAAATTCCTGCGGGGGAAAGTCGGTCTCTGTCAGCCACAGCGCTCTGGGCCCTGGACGCCGCGGCCCAGGGATCGAGCCCCCATCCGTGGTTGACCTGCGTCTGCTTTAAGTGGCACGGGGTGCGTGGCACAGGACACGGTGTCAATGCCACAGGCTGAGTGGCTTGCAGCCCACAGTGGTAGAGCCGGGTGCCCAGGAGTTTAGATCCACCCCGAATGTGGCTTCCTGGCCCTTTTCACTCTTCCTCCAAGAAGCTCACCCTGACTGCCCGGAGATCACTTATTTCCCAAGGACCAGGCGAGCCTTCATCTCCTCCCACTTCCACCTCTTTAGCCGAGTGCATTGGTGGTTTCTGAGTGACTGACAGATGTCGGCCCAGAGGCCTGATGCGGTAGTTGTGGGAGACCCTCGGGACCTTATGACATCACCATGCACTGTCTTCCTTTTTCGTAGGAGGAAGTTGAAGCGAACACCCGGGGCTGGTTAGACATACATGGCCTCGCCCATCCCCTGTGCAGTGTGGATGGGCTGATGCCAACTGTGTGGACTTCAGTGTGACGGTGTCCCCAGAACTGTGTCACACAGCGTGCCGTTCCTCAGAAAGCTAAACACAGACGCACCCTATAACCAGGCACCCACTCCTGAGTCCGTGTCCAAGGGAAATGAGTCTGTCCTTGGAGAGACAGCTGTCCTCCTGCTTACTGCAGGGCTGGTCTCAACAGCCAAGACCCGGAAACAGCCGCCATGGCTGCCACGGCCTCCCGCTGATTTATGAACAGAGAAAATGCGGTGCGCGAGCACCCTGGACAAAGGGTGACGTCTCATTGTTTGCAGCAACATGGATGGAACCGGGGGTTGATATGTTAAGAGAAAGAAGCCAAGCACAAGAGGCCATCATCACCTGGTCTCACTCCCGTCTGGAGTCTAAAACATCGGTTATCTTGGGCCCGGCGCTGTGGCATAGCTGGTAAACCTGCCACAGTCGACATTGACATCCCACAGGAGTGCGTGTCCTGGCGGCTCTATCTTCGATCCAGCTCCCTGCCAATGGCCTGGGACAAGCAGCAGCAGGTGACCCAAGTCTTTGGGCCCCTGCCACCCACATGGGAGACCTGATGAAGCTCCTGGCTTCAGCCTGGCCCAGCCAGCCCCAGCTGTTGTGGCCATTTGAGGAGTGAACCAATGGATGGAAGACCTCTCTCAATATTTCTCTCTCTGATTCTCCTTCTCTCTCTATAACTCTGACTTTCAAATAGATAAGTATTTTTAAAAATAGGCGATCTCATAGAAATTAAAAATCTAATAGTGGTTACCAGAGACGGGAGACAAAGTGGGGGGGGAGGGACGGGGACAGGTGGGCTGGTGCATAGTTAGTTCATAGCTGTCTAGGAGTAAGAAGCTCAAGGGTGCGACTGCACGGGGGGAAGGGTGCCTGCAGATAATGCGCACTTCATGAAACCTAGAAGATAGGATTTGGGATGCTTTCACTGGAGAGAAATGCTACATGCCTGAAAGGATAGAGCATTTAGTACGATTGGATATGACACAACAGATATAGGTAGCAGAACATCACATTAGTGGCTGGTGTTGTGGCGTAGCGGGAAAAGCTGCTGCCTGTGATGTCAGCATCCCATATGGGCTCCGGTTTATGTCCCAGCTGCTCCGCTTCTGATCCAGCTCCCTGCTAATGCACCTGGGAAAAGCAGTGGGAGACCCAGAAGAAGCTCCTGGCTCCCGGCTTCCCTGGCCGCTGTGGCCATTTGGGGAGTGAACCAGTGGATGGAACGTCATTCTCTCTGTCTCTCCCTCTTTATCTATAACTCTGCCTTTCAAATAAATAAATATATCTTTTAAAAAAATCACATTATTCCCCATAAATATGTACTATTTTAATTTATATATATCTCAAGATTTTTTTAAATCATAATTTCAAATTCTGAAGTCAAACAAAAAAGAAATAAAAAATTCCTGCAAAGTTTTCGCAGTGAACACAGCAGTGCCATGTAAGAGGAGACGCTCGGCTGACTGGAATGGATTGAGAGTCCAGAGTAGACTTTTGTGTCATGGCCGATTGGCTTCTGACGAAGGTACTAAGACAGTGCAACAGGCAAACAACAGTTTGTGCAACAAACAGCATCCGTGCAACCGCCTGACCTTGCACGAAAGAAGGAAGTAGGGTCCCTGCTTCCCTCCGTAAACAAAAATCCACTGAAACAGACCCCAGGCCTAACATGTGGAGCTACATGTAGAACTTCTGCAAGAAAACATTGGTGTGAATGTTCACGACCTTGGATTAGGCATGGCTTTCTTAGGACATCGGAGTCCAAGCAAACAAAAACAAGCAAAGGCCAAATGTTGGATTTCATCAGAACCGTAACCGGCTGTGCTCAAAGGGCACCCTTAAAGAGACAGGCATCATGGAACAGAGGTGAAGCCGGGGCCTGCGAAACCCGCAGCCCACATTGGAGTCCTGGAACGGATGTCTGCCTCGGCTCTGACCCGAGAAGCCGCAGCCGGTGGCTCTAGCGCTCGGGTCCCTGCTGGGCCTGGGGGAGACCTGGATGGAGGTCCCAGCTCTGGCTCAGCCTGGCCCGGCCCTGGCTGCGGTGGGCAGAGGGAAGTGAATGAGTGAATGGGAGATGTGTCTCCCTCCCTCTCTCTGTCACACTGCTTTTCAATAACAAACACACTTGTAAAAGGGAAACCATCGAGAAATAAATAAGCTAACCCCAGAGTGGGAGGAAACACTGTGAAAACAGGTGTTTGGTGACAGAGAACTATCTAGAGCATCAAACAACCATAAAAAGACAAATTCTCCCACTTTAGGATGGGGCCAAGGCTCGTGTGGGCATCTCTCCAGAGAGGAGATGCAGCCGGCCGGCAAGCACATGGGATACCCTCCACGCCACCAGCCATGGGGAATGTGGGTCCATGCCACAGTGGGGTGCCACTGCACTGGGGTGGCTAAACCACAAGACAGACAACGCCAAGTGCTGACCGGATGCGGAGCCATTAGAACCCTCGCGCCGCGATGGGGGGGTGTGAGTGTGTCAGCCACTTTGGGAAACAGGCTGGCAGTTCCTGAAAACGTTGCACACAGATGTCACGTGACTCTACCGTACCCCCCCCCCCCCCAGGTGTGTTCCCAAGAGAACTGAGAGCATATGTCTGCACAAAAACCCGCACGGAAATGTTCACAGCGACACTCCCGACTGCCTCCACGTGTGTCCACCAGGTGGTATGTGTCTGCACCAGGAAACATCACTCAGCCCTCAAAAAGAACACAACACCCATTCGCTCTGCAACACGGATGCACCTTGCAAACACACTGCATACAAGAGAAACTAGATGCAAGGTCCATCTTTTGGGGGTGGTGAGAGTAGTGATGAGTAGTGATGCCTGCAATTCTGACTAGACTGGAGTGCGCACATTGAAAGGGTAAATTTCATGGTGTGTGAATTACACCTCAGGGAAGTTACTGTTTTAAGAGCACGCATGCTCTGTTGCCACCTGAAGCCGTTGTTAAGGACTGAGCAGAGTCTGGTCCTGGTGGGGACAGTGAAGAGGGGACGCGCGGCGGCCTCGGCCGGACATCGGAAGTTTAAGTGTAGGACCCTGAGCCGAAGGCTCCTCAGCCCCTGACACGCCCCCTCCAGGTGCACACGTGGCTGATGTGTGCCTGTTTGCAGGTGTGTCTATTTCATGCACACGTGGAAATGCACGTTATGAAAATGCTGTGCTTGGATTTCAAAATTCTTTGGCACCAAACTAAACATATTTAAAAAATTTTTAACTTCTTAAAAAAATTTGCTTAGTCCAGAGGCAGAGAGATGGCAGCGGGGACCGGGGGTGAGGGGACAGAGAGACACACAGAGATCTTCCATCTGCTGGTCGACTTCCCCAATGTTTGCAGTGGCTGGGACCAGAATGGGACAGAGCCAGGAGCCAGCAACTCAATCCGGGTCTCCCTGCTCAAGCCATTGCTGCTGTCTCCCAGGGTCTACACTGGCAGGGCAGCTGGGGCAGGACTGAAACCCAGGCGCTCAGTCTGGGATGCAGGCATCGCAACAGTTTCTAACCACGAGGCCAAACGCTTACCCGAAAATCAGTGGACCTTCAACTGCATCTTCCACCTTCAGTAGTACTGTAGTTCACAACTTACATGGCACGTGGATGTGGGGTTGCAGGAGAAGACCCTCGGTGCCCCTACCACCCCAACATTCTCGCCTAGTGGTTGAGACTCACAGAGACCCCACGTAGCCACAGAGGAGGGGGTTGGTAAGACCCAGGACGGGCTCAGGCAGGCGCTGGCCCCGGGGCAGCAGGGGCTCCACGGACCCCGTCTGTGCTCACCTTGATCAGCTCAAGCTGGGAGAAGAGGCCCACGCTTTCGGGCTTGCGGTGGGGGCCGGGGTGGCACCGCCGGGCCATACTGTTGATGAGCAGCTGTGCTGTGCTGAGCTGCTGGCTCTGCTGGGGGAGGGGCGGAGGCTCAGCCCGCTCCCTGGGGCCCTGGGCCCCCGGCCTGGAGCCTGGCCTGGACTCCACAGCCCCAGGGGCTTGAGGGAGGGAGGCTGGGCTAACGCCCTTTGAAGGGTCGCCCTAGCTGGAGACAGCCATGGCCCTGGCCTGGGGGTGTGGAGGAACCCCATGTTCCTCATTTGGGCAGCACTGGGCCTGGACTTCAGGCCTCCAGGACCATGGTCAGCTGTGGCAGCCTTGACTCTCTGCTTAGAAAGGCCTGGAAGGGACTCTCCGAATGTGGCCATTTTAGCCCTGCTCAGCCCTGTGGTTGGCGGTCAGCTGCCTCCAGACCCCAGCCCTTGTGTCTTCCAGACTCGGAGCCACAGGGCCTGGCCAGTCGGGGCTTCAGAAGGTCCCACAGTCAGTCAGTGACCGCAGCCCGCCTCAGGGGAGCGTGCCCAGCACAGCTCTGCCCCTGGCCTTGGTCCCCGCGTGCTCCCTGCAGTCCCTGAGGCCAGAAGAGCAGACGGTGCCTTGGGTGTGCTGAGACCCAGGCCGGGGCCGGCACAGGGCAGCACGCATGTCTGCCCGTGGACTTGGGCCGAGACGTGTTCCTTCTGAGCTCGCGTTCCCCACCTGCGGGATGGCTGTGGGGAGAACCCGGGCCAGGAGTGCCGCCTCCGCTCAGCCCGGTGCTGAGTGCAGCCGGAACTGATCAGAGACAGTCATGAGGACGACAGAGTGCAGAGCGGCCCTGCGCGGAGTTCCCTCCCTGCCAGCACAGATACTGGACAAGGCCGGCTCAGCCCCCAGCAGTGCGGGGCCCCAGCACTGGTCCTGCAGATCCCTGCTTGGTCCTTCCCTCTTGGCCTCAGTCCTCCCATCTGTAAAGGGGATCTGCCCCACCTCAGAGAGCCCTCTAGAAACCCACCAGCTGGAGAGTGATTCCTGTGTGTGTGTGTGTGTGTGCCTCTGTGTACCTGTGCCTTTATGTGTGTGTGCCTGTGTTTACCTGCGTCTTTATGTGTGTGTGTCTGTGGGGTGTGTGTGTGCATGTCTGCCTCTGTGTTTACCTGTGTCTTTATGTGTGTGTGTGCCTGTGTTTACCTGTGTCTTTATATGTGTGTGTGCCTCTGTGTTTACCTGTGTCTTTGTGTCTTTGTGTGTCCAGGTGTGTGTCTGTGTCTTCACATCTGTGTCTTTACGCGTGTGTGTGTGTGTTGTGTCTATGTCTTCATGTGTGCCTGTGTCTTTACATGTCAGTTGTGTGTCTGTATGTGTGTACCAGTGTGTTGTGTGTCATGTCTGTGTGTCCATGCGTATATGTGTCATCATGTGTGCCTGTGTCTTTACCTGTGTTTGTTGTGTGTCTTGCATTTATGTCTGTGTGTCCATGTGTACTTGTGTCTCTACATGTGTGTCTGATGTGTGTGTGTATGTGTGTCTAAGTATATGTGTGCCATCATGCGTATGTCTTTATGTGTGGGTCTTTTGTATGTATGTATGTGGTACATGTGTATGTGTGTGTCTGTGTTCATTTGTATTTGTGTCTCTACGTGTGTGTTTGTTGTGTGTCTGTATATGTGTCCATGTGTTTCTGTGTCTTTTCTACATGTATCGGTTGTGTGTCTGTCTGTATGTATATGTGTGTCTGTTGTGTGTCTCTCTGTGTGTCTGTGTGTATTTGTGTCATCATGTGTGTCTGTGTCTTTACATGTGTTTATTGTATGTTTGTATTTGTGTCTGTGTGTCCGTGTCTACTTGGTCTTTACACGTGTGTCTGTTGTGTGTCCAAGTGTATCTGTGCCATCAGTGTATGTCTTTACATGTGTGTCTGTTGTGTGTATGTGTGTGTCTATGTGTACCTGTGTCTTTACATGTGTGTGTCTGGTGTATGCTTCTGTCTGTATGTGTGTCCATGTATATCTGTGTTTTTCCGTGTGTGTCTGTGTCTACATGTGTATGTCTATCTGGTGTGTGTCTGTGTCTGTGTGTGATGGGAGTGAGGACAGCTGAGGAGGCAGCAGTCCCCAGCTTTCACCCTGCCCCGAGCCAGCAGCCTGGACTCACGAGGTGGCTCTGGGCGTGTGTCTGTGTCTAC